CAGAAAACAACAAAAATTTTCTTTACATGTTTCCATCTTGAAGTCATTTATTACTACAGCACCGAGATTTGTTGCGAATTTCTTTCTTATTCAACTTCATATTTTCTCGAGAATAGTGTAAGACAATTGGAACTGAAAAAAAAGGTGTTCAAGGGTACTGAATCGTATTAAATGGGCCTATTTGCCGACAGTTCCTCTGTCCTTTTGATTGCAGTTTTGACAAGTAAGATCTTTGAATACATAAAACGTAATTATCATTGCTAATGTTTACAAAAGGGAGAGAGGATTAAAGTAAAAGACCCGGGGGTGGGGGTACTACCACCCCAACTTGGGTAGGGGTGTTCCCTCAGGACCTCGAAACCCTGACCCTATCCCAGACCTAAAATTTTGATTTTACATTCCCTACCCCAGACTAAAACTAAGAATTGTACACCCTATCCCAGACTAAAAGACGGAAAATACGGTTTTACAATCGATTGCAATCAATATTTACTAACATTTTTCATTGTTTTTGGTCGGCAGAAAGCGTAGCCTATTCGCCAGACAAAAACGACCAAATCGTTAATCCTATCCCAGACTAAAATGATACCCTATCCCAGACAAAATGTCAAAACATGATACCCTACCCCAGACCCAGAAGCCGAAAAACCATACCCTATAGGGCGGCACATAACCGTATAGCAAATATGGGAGAACCCCCCCCCCCCCCCCCTCGGGGTAAAAGAGCATTGCACTGTCAGTCAGCCATTTGAATGGTTATTTCGTAAGATCAGACCTCGTTATAGTCAGCTGGTCTAACACTGGCCACTTGCCCGGTTGGTATTAGTCAGTCGGTTGGTCGGTTTTGCTAGTTGCTTCTTTAATCTTTACGGTTCAGTTGGTTAGATGGTTGCTTTGTCGGTTCATTGTTCGGTCGGTCGGCCGGTGTAGTAGGTACGATTGCAGTTCCATCTCTTTTTACATAACCTTTTATCTCAATCATTTCCAAGTCTTCACAGGCATTTTTCATTTGCCCTTGTTCTGTTTGTAACACGCCCGTTTGAGTCCTCCTTATCTTGCAGAAGCAACATGTAATGCTCCAAAACACCTGAACGAATCGAGAGCGAAATTTACGAGATATTGTGCCATAAACGAAGGGATTACAACAGGAATGAAGCAACAACAACTGAGGAGAAAACTTAAAAATCACGCTTGCCACATCGTAGCTTTCGAAAACGATCATGTCTATCCAAGCTATTTGATGTGGTAAGGTAGAAATATTGTACAAAAGTACGATAATAAGAGAGATTTTGATGACTTCCAGGTCTCTCTTTCGAGTCATTTTGAGCTGGTTAATTCTGTTACTGTTCAAACAACACTGGGGAACTTTGTGTCGTTTTAAATTCAAGATAATCTTAGTGTAAGAGATGGCCATAATAGTCGTAGGGATAACGTTCTGGACAACGAATAAAGAGACTGTGTAGACCTTGTTTAATAGCTCTGATGGCCAGATTTCTTCACACCTTCCATGATATTGTTCCCTTACTAAATAAACTGGAATGAGACAAATATTTGCTAAAAGCCACAGCCCTGCCATAGTACAGTATGTGAACTTGCTTGAGGGCTTGGTTTTGAAAGGATGAACAATGGATCGACATCGAAATATTGCAATAGTCGTCATTGTAAGCACGGTCACCATTTGGGTACTGGAGAAAAATAGGCCTTGATGTTTGCAATACCATTTTGAAAGTGGTATGTTGAAGTACTGTATTATAAAGTATAGCAACACGGATAGGATGTCAGCTACACTGAGGTTAGCAATGAGGATCTCAAATGATGTCTTTCGTCGTTCTCTGGTAGTGTAAATGACCACAAGGACCGTAAGGTTGCCAATAACAGCAACGACAAAGATAGTAATGTCAATACCAAGTCTCCATTCTAGGTCTCTCCATTCTAGGTCAATTGAATTCCAATAATTCTGTTTAGAGTTGGAAACTATAGGACTGTTGCTATCAACCGGAGAACTTGAGTTATTCGCCATTTCTTCTTCCATGTAGGAGATTTGGCGCCAGCTTCGGCTATAATTCTGAGTGATTCCAGTAATACAGCTTCGTCAATTTTATATATTCTTAGGTTGATGCCATTTCATGCGGAGCCTAATACAAGGTCTTACCTCGAAGTGCGTAAGGTTTATGGATTTGATTAATAAAATATATCCTTGTGAAGGCAGCTGAGTATGGAAATGAGCAGTAAGTAATTTGATATTAATAATAAGAGAGATTTTGATGACTTCCATGTCTCTCTTTCGCGTCTTTTTGAGCTGGTTAATTTTGTCACTGTTCAAGCCACACTGGGGAGCTTTGTGTCGTTTTAAATACAAGATAGTCTTAGTGTAAGAGATGGCCATAATAGTCAAAGAGCTATGACGTACTGCACAACGAATAAAGAGACCGTGTAGACCTTGTTTAATAGCTCTGATGGCCAGATTTCTTCACACCTTCCATGATATTGTTCCTTTACTAACTAAACTGGAATAAGACAAATATGTGCCACAAACCACCCCCCAACTCCGATATACCCCGGGCATTTGACCATAGTCGAGTTCCGCATAGTGGGGAATTTGAAGCTGAACATTTGCCTGAAGGGGCGGGCATTTGACTACCGACTAAATGTAGCGGCCCTTATCTAATTTGCGTAACTTATTCTCGGACTTTCCTCGTGGCAAATTCGAGCCTATGATTGCAAACTTTCTCACCTGGTTTGTGCTTATGTTCGTGCTTTCAATTTTAAAAAATGAAAATTTTAAAAAACGAAATGCCCAAGTTGTTTAAAATTACTGTTTTGTTGAGAGGAAATTTAAGATTTTTCATTTATTATGATAGCCATGAATAAAAAAACTTCAGTTGTACGAGCTCAGTTCAGTACCTTTTAATAATAAAAATAATAATAATAATAATAATAATAATGGTTTAATCAATAGAATCCACGAGGTGGCTCTTCTCCTATTGATAAAACTATCTAATTTACAATAACATACACACAAGATAAATTTACGATGAACTATGAAGCTATAGAATAAATTAGACATAATAAGAAATAAGATTGACATAATTACTATTGGATTATTCTAAGCTAGACAATTATTATACATAAATAAAAAGGACAAAAACTGAAGATACTGGGGCTACGCCCACCGCCCCCAAGCAACCACCCCAGGTCGAGATATTCGGGGCAACAGACAAAGA